CACCAACTCTAATGTTCACTTATAAGTTGTCACATGTGGAATAAAGTTATATACATTTCAAGATAAGGGCCCAAGTGTAAGGCCTCCCCCAAACTAGAAAATCAATACATAACTCTTAGATTACTGGAGGAATCCAAGGCCTATGAACGTACTTTCTCTTCCATTCTGCAAGGAGGCTGCATTAGAACCATTCTTTTGCACATGCTTTGGTGCAGGAACAAGCGAGCTGCTCTAGACAGTTCCGTGTTCCTTCTCCCTTTCCCTCAGATGTGTGTGTGCAGTCCTCCTCACGAGTGCTCCCTCACCTGTGAGCTTGGCGGTACGTAGTCCTCACAGATGTGTTTATGAAGGAAAGTCTTCAGTGTTGCAGGTGGTTGCAGGAACTTATTACAAATGCAAAGAAAAATAGAAGACACTTCTCTTCAAGAATACAGGGGAAGAGCTGAAGGAAGCGAGACTGATGAGACAGTGTCAGGTGGTGTCCCTTGGCCTCCTCAGGCTTAGGTTCATTTTGCTAGTGTGTCTATGCTGAGTAAACTATGGGCAAGAACACAAACAGCCATTCTGCACCCTGGGGAAAGTCCTTATCTATGAAGCAGCGGCCCAGTCTGTGGTGGATGCCATGGGCAGCTGGCATATCCTCTGGGACAGAAAATCTGACAGGGTGTATGTCCTCTCTGCAGCCGGGTGGAGCAGGGCACCAGGAGCTGCCCAGCTGGCAGCAGCACCGTGGTGGCCGACCTTCTGTCCTGTTCATGTTAGGGCATTGGGACCTGTCCAATTCCCATAACTCATAATGTGCTTAAAGCCCTGATGAATTCATTACTGCCCAAGACTCTCACGCCAGCTAACAAACTCTTTTTTTGTGTGTGTTAATTCAAAACAAAATGCTTCCTGTACAAAATCATTTTATCTAAAGATGTTTTATTCTAGATTCCATCCATTCACATTCCATTAACCACCCTATGGGTATAAATTAGAGTCAGCATATAAACACACACCACGCAGTTAATTCTGAAATATTTCATGTTAATTACAAATGGACAAATAATTCTTCCCAGTTCAAACCTGCTCTTGTCCTGATTCTTCATCTCCTGCTTCCTTACTAGAATCAAACCCCTTTATTGACCCCTGCAACTTCATCAGCTGCCCCTGGCTTCTGTCCAAATCAAGGGGACAAGTGAAATCCCTCATCGTGGCCACATTTTGTAGCCAACCTATCTGATTCAAAGAATGTATCTGTGTCCACTTACCATGTTTATGGCAGAATTTGGATAATGTCAACTGATTAGTAAGTACTCATCTAAAAAAATGAATGAAAAGTGATTTCAATACCAAATACCTAACAGAAAATTTTTCTTAAAATAAATGACTTTTGTTTTTCAAACAAAAAGTACTTTCTTGTTGTGTATGTATTTT